GTACATGTAGACATAATTGTGTGTGTGGATGTGTGAGTCTCAGTGGGGGTGTAGAGGTCAATGTCAATGTCTTTCCTTGTTCATGCTTCTCCTTTATTTCTGAACCAGAAAGCTATGACTAGGATAGGCTAGTTGGCCAATGAGCTTCAGGAATCCGACTGTCTCCACTCCACTAGTTCTGGCCTTAAGTCCTGCTTCCAATGTGGATTTAGGGCATCTGAAATCAGGTCCTCATGTTTTTAGGTGGACACATTACTGACTGAGCTATCTCCTCAAACTCCTAGTTTATGTCATAATGCATTTCCCGTTTGTTACTCCAATGAACACACAGGTCCAAGGGCAGAGTTAATGACTTCTTGCCATTCCTAGTTGCTACAACCCAGGCATCACACATCTTATTGGATGCAAACCAACCCAGCAGGCCTTCCTGCAGAACTTCATACAGGCAAACGTCATGTTACACAGTAGCTTCTAATTTCAGCGACTTAACCTGTAGCTGCTAGACATTTGTATATCTTACATTTACCACTCTTTATACAATTGGGATATGAACATTTCAATGGTCTGGTTATGCTGAGCTACTTTTCAAACAGATAAAAAAAAGAAAAGGAAACTATTAAAAAGATTTGACAAAAAGAAATGCCAGTTAGTTTAAATGCATATGTCAAAATCTTGCTCAACAGAAGTGACAGTTCCCTCTGCATTGAAGTTCAGAATATTTTATATAGAAGCAAAAAAACCTTCATGAGAAATGTTTCCATTTTTGCTTTCTGTCATGTTAATTCATCACCTTAGCTGTCATCAGTTTCTCTCGAATCATTCTTACCACCTGTGTCTCACTGATCCCGAAAGATAACAGTACTTCAAGCTTGTACCCTTCAATATTACAGTACTTCAAGCTTGTACCCTTCAATATTACAGTACTTCAAGCTTGTGCCCTTCAATATTACAGTACTTCAAGCTTGTGCCCTTCAATATTACAGTACTTCAAGCTTGTACCCTTCAATATTACAGTACTTCAAGCTTGTACCCTTCAATATTACAGTACTTCAAGCTTGTACCCTTCAATATTACAGTACTTCAAGCTTGTGCCCTTCAATATTACAGTACTTCAAGCTTGTGCCCTTCAATATTACAGTACTTCAAGCTTGTGCCCTTCAATATTACAGTACTTCAAGCTTGTGCCCTTCAATATTACAGTACTTCAAGCTTGTGCCCTTCAATATTACAGTACTTCAAGCTTGTGCCCTTCAATATTACAGTACTTCAAGCTTGTGCCCTTCAATATTACAGTACTTCAAGCTTGTGCCCTTCAATATTACAGTACTTCAAGCTTGTGCCCTTCAATATTACAGTACTTCAAGCTTGTACCCTTCAATATTACAGTACTTCAAGCTTGTACCCTTCAATATTACAGTACTTCAAGCTTATACCCTTCAATATTACAGGAGTCATAGGTACAATGTTTTACAATATGATCACAGTGAGCTGTACTCATCTGAATGTCAGCTTTGTGCTCATATTTTTCTAATAGACTTACTTGAAAAAACAAGACAGAACATTGGCACCTCTGAGTTTATCTCCATTGCTGTGCTGTAGGGCACAATGGAGCATATGTCTCTTTGGCTTCCCACTTAAACCCTCACCGCTGTATGTCTAAGTGGAACTAAGCACCTAGACAAAATTGTGCAGGTAGGCAGTGAACCATCATAGTTGGTTTTAATTGTACCCCTATATAACCACTTAGACATTATGGTATTATGAGTGTCACCTTCAAAAGTTCTTTAAACTCTCTGAGCATTGATGTCTCCATTGTGTTCATGTCATACTCTACAAGGCTGTTTGGAGAACAAGAGACTGTATCTAAGTATCTTGACGTAGTCATTGGCACACATGAACTAAGGAGTAAATATCAAACTTTATTGTTGCTTAGGATAACCTGGTCAGTATCAATCAAGGTTTTTTTGTCTACCAACTTGCCACTCTCTTGGCTCCCCCACTGTTCACAGAAAGTTTCCCAGAGTTAGTAACTAACTCTGTGTTCCCTCCTGTCCTTGTTTTCCCCCCACTCTCCTCCCCATTGGCACTCAACAACCCCAGTGGCTGGCAGACACTCTCCTGTTCTTCTAGGGTACACACTGTCTTTAGAATTGCTTTCTGGTCAGTAATTCATGTTCTTGGAGCCAATGCAAGTGGTAAATGAAATAATTTTTGATGCCTCTTGGCCAGTTAAAGTCTCTAGCCTCTTTATAAAAAAGTTCCATTCTATGGGTTTTGATAGCTATCTCCTAATTTTTGACAGTTTTTTATCAATACAAATGCCCTGAGGTCAGAAATAAGGTTTTGATTGACCACCCTATCTTCTATGTCTGTCCATGGATTAGGATGTGTGAAACTGATTCTTGCCTCGATTTTCCTGCTCATCATGCTGGTTCATACACTCAGAATGGCTTTGGCAGACAATACAGACCAAACATTTAAGCTGGCAGGCCTGTTTCCTTTGGTTAAATACAAGTTCCCATCGCTAGAGAATACTGTACTTGTTCACTGATGACGGACAAGCAGGCTGGCTGAATTATAAACATTTCCGTGAAGATTTTTTTAGCCTTCTGAGGCCATTCTCAACCGTCATTTCCCAAAGATCTCCTTGTTCATTGTGTCCCAGCCACAGTCAGGATCTCTTGGTCTCTAAATGGTTGCACTGGCCGCCTCCACCTGATGCTGGCATTTGCAGCAGCTATAGGAGTCCTCACTCATTTTCACCTCGCTACCTACTGCTTCCAAAGCTAGGAGAATTTGATCTTCCCTTCATAGCTCCTTATTTTCTTCATGGTGCTCCTGACCGTGACCAGTGATATTCTCACTACATTCTGCTCACGCTTCTTCTCACTTTGCATGTAGCTTCTGAGAGGACTAGGATCATGACTGTCATGCTGACTATTGCCCAACAACATTTGAGTGGGGGCAGGGAAAGCCGGATGCAATAAGACAAAATATTCTTGTACAAGGGCATCCGCTAAAAACATCTCTTTATTGAACTAAGTCACTCCATAAAGAGAACTAGTCTGTCATAGCCAGTGAATGAGAAGCCTGTAGCCCCTCCGTGCCATTTGCTTAGCAAGCCCAACTGGGCAATGTACTAAGTATTAATTTGCCCTTAGGGTAGTGAACAAACCTGGGTTCTTTCATTCTGGGATCTTCTGAGCTTCAGGTGACTATTTCTCTTGTGGGCAGTGACCCAGCAGTGGTGGTATTCTTGGAATGTCTCCAAAATGCCATCTTTATCAGCATCACCTATTTTACTAATTAGAGATAGCTTTGCCTTACTTTATCCCAGGACACCTGTGTCCCATCTCTTCTCTTAGCTCAGCCAAAGCACCCTGTAACTGCCACCTTTAACCTCTCCCTTTACTGCCAGGCTGTGGTTGGTTTCCACACTTTTCCCCAGAACCGTTTTGACTCTCTAGAAACCAGATGAAGTTTCTGTTTCAGCACCTGTCCCCAAATGCCACTCCAGGGGTGATCCTATGACCCTTCCCTGCTTTCCTTAACGAGTAAGAAGAACCTTTGCTTCCCTTAGAGACAAGGAGGGACAATGACAATATGGAAGGATTGAGTGAGGCCACAGAGGAATCCCACGGACTACTCAGGAAGGAGGAAAGTTAAAACACAGAAGCAATGAAGGGGATTTTCATTTGAGAGCTTCAGCTTGGTCCCTTAAAGACAATTTTCGGGGGCAGATCAACTCCTTAAAACTGGAATATCTTCTGCAATAGGAATCATGGGCTTTTAGAAGGAATACTGACCAAATGTTGGGGAATGAATTGTAAGGATGGAAAGATGTCCCTCGTGTTTTGACCGTGTTAGCATTCATGCCGTGTGCATACAACATGGGATACAGGGCCTCTCATAATCCATCAGATATACCTTACTGTTCCTCATATGGACTGGTGACTAATGCAGCTGGCTATGCCCCTGGTGGGACTTTATAAACATACCCCAGCTGCATTCACCTTCTCAAGTTGAAAGCAGCGGGGAGCTAATGTTACTTCATCTAACTTTTTCTAAAGTTTCTGCAGGACAATGCTCACGTTGCTGTCAGACAGCAGCTGGACAGCTTTCTCTGTCTTCAGCAATTAGTCCCCTAGGTACAGCTCTGCAATCAAATAGAGGTCAAGTGTATCCAAATAAAAATATTCTAGAATGTCTCTGGCATAAATCTCTCCCTGAAGACTTCAGTCGTGTTACTTCAGGAGAAAAGAACTATGATTTATCGGAAAAGTCCAAAACGTTAGTTCATCAAGAAAGCAGAGCTAGCTTGTTTAGTTATTCTAACACACTGGGTAAGCAATGGCCGCCACATCTTTTTCTGGCTTGTTTTCCTTCCACTGCTTTTAAAAACAATTTGGACAATCATAGATGAATTATTGCTAAGTATGAGCTATATGACCACTATTGGAAAATCTTCCTTGTTGCTATAAATTATAGTCAGGCTGGATGCAATGTAAGCTTCATAGACACTTGAGTATCCAATTAATTTTAGGATCAAGTCTTAACACTATCACCAAGTTAGTAGAAAATACTTTTCTTAGCTTTGAAGTGACAGTTGTCTAAGCTTCTGACGTCACTAAGATGCTAACTTTCGTTCTGTTCTCAGTTAGGGACATAAGATGCAATTCTGAATTTATATCCAGGCCTGACTGTATTTTAAAATCTAAGCTCAGAGGTGCCACATTAGTACAGTGGGATGTGAGTCCCAACACGGTCATGCTGAAAAGTGGGTTTGCATGAGTATCCTTCATTCTGATTACTTACACATATCTAATAAGTGTCATCTGGGATGCTTCCACTGGGAGGGCATTGTCTCAGCGCTTCCTGTTTGCAAATAATCAAACCGAGTGTGAACAGTCTCTCACCAGTCATGACAGTCACTTTCCCACGTTAAGCCCGACCTGCTCCTATTTCTTCTCATTTTCCCCTCCCATTGTCTCCTCCTCCAGGTTGGTGGTTTGATGCCTGCGGCCCCTCCAATCTAAACGGAATGTTCTACACCGCTGGACAAAACCATGGGAAACTGAACGGGATCAAGTGGCACTACTTCAAGGGGCCTAGTTACTCTTTACGTTCAACCACCATGATGATCCGGCCCTTGGACTTTTGAAAGCGCTAGGCCCATATTAGAAATCTGCAAAGACGTCTGGGGTCCGTGCTCCCAGATGAGAAGCTTCCCGGAAGCTTCAGAAACAAACAGCCTTGACTCCCTGCCAGCAACAGGTGACTCTGTGGTGTCACCAAGGCTCTTGACTATGGACGTGGAGCCTTCTGAGTGCAAGACAGTCTCCACTTGGGTCACTGTGTTCTGATGAGTTGTCCCCAGAGAATGCCACTCACTGCCATGCTTTACGAAGGGAGGAAACGCTCAGCTTGCCGCACTCAAAAGTGCCAGTGGATCGGATTTTGAACCTGTAACACCCTGATGACACATGCGGCTTGTTTTCTGACAAAACCAAACAGCAAAGAACACACATGAGGAAAAGAATGGGAACGGGACTTCTTCTGCTGAAGACAGATGGCGGCAGCGGAGTGATGTCACTCCAGGAAATCCTGCTAACACGCACGGCTGGTGTCACTGCACCAAGGTGACAGGAGCAACAGCCTTGTCTTCTGAACTGGCTAAACGTTAGTTGACTTCAGAAGCTCATTTCAAGCATCGTATTCACTAGCTGATTTCAGGCTTACCGTGTTTGAGTGTAGATTCAGTCCTTGAAAGTCATGATACAACAGAGTGCGTGGAGGCCAACGGGGTGAGGCAGAAACGGGTTCAAAGAGACTGAGTTTGGGGGGATACCATTTTCAGAAGAGTTAAAAAATCTAGCCAAGAATGCACAGAATAGGTAAAGATTCGTCTCGTGCTACAGTATTCATTTACGTTGAAAACTGATGTACTGGTATACAAATAGCTCTAGAGCCGAGCCCGAGTATATATAAAAAATGGACACTTTATCATCCAGCGCTTAAAGCGATATGAATGCAGTTAATGGTCTCTTTGACGTCTATGGGACAGCGTATATGGAGTACTTAAGTTGGAGCAGCCCGTTGTACAGATCTTCCGACATGCATTTGCTTACCTATGGCTTCGTTATTATTATTATTATTTTGTTTTTACTTTTTATCATATTTTCTTTTTCCACCTTTTTATTTAAATTAGAAACCATCTTGTTTTACATATCAATCCCAGCTTCCTCTCCTTCCCCCCCCCCACCGACCCCCTGTCTCATCCCCTTTCTGCTCCCCAGGGAGGGTGAGGCCTTCCATGGGGGATCCTCAAAGTCTGCCACATCATTTGGGGCAGGGCCTAGACCATCCCCCATGTGTCTAGGCTGAGAGAGCATCCCTCTGTGTGGAATGGGCTCCCATAGTCCATTCGTACACTATGGATTAATATTGTTCTACTGCCAGGGATCCCATATTACTACCCAAGCCTCCTAACTGACACCCACATTCAGGAGGTCTGGGTTGGTCCTATGCTGGTTTCCCAGCTGTCTGTCTGGGGTTCATGAGCTCTCCTTGTTATTTTTTAAATGTTTGTAGTTCTTTAATTTTCATCCAGATATTTTGTGCTAATTTAATTTGTGGTTATTAATTCATTCATTCACTTTACAAAAGGCCATCCTGCTCCAGTTCTTTATAAATGTTCCACTTTGAAGTCTAAAAAGAATGGAAGATTTTTGTATATCACTGTACATAGTGCGTGACACTCAATACCTGTGTAATCTGGAATATACAATGTGGTCCTCAATTGATGATTATAAAATTCGAGTGTTCCAAGACATTTACTATACAACTTGATTAAATGTACAATTCTTCACATTATTTTTTTCTCCTTCAGGCTCTGTTTCTTCAAGAAATTTCTATCTTGTAAAGTAATATTAGTGAAGAAAATTGACATAACTCCTTATGTATGAGAGATATAAAAAAACACAGCCATTTGACTAGGAAACTTCTGATTGTTAGCTGCTATTAAGTGCCTTAGTTAAGATGTCCCTGTGGCATCATCTATTGTAGTTTTGGACACACGTTTCTGTGACAACCTGATGTTACTGCAATATTCTATCAAGAAGTGCTCTTTGTCTATAAATGACCATGGTTACATTAGAAAAAAAAGTCATCAAACATGATTTGCTATGTAATGAGAAAACTAAAACATGCATCAGCTCTGCTTTCACAGAAAAAAAAAAAGATTTTCTGTGAAATACAAATTTCAAAATATCAGTCATCATCATTGTGCCCACAATGCCTTACTGGCTTTTCTCCATCTGGGAGAAGAAAGCTAATTATGGTTTTAAGAAAAGGGTTTCTAGTGTTTACCATCAAGTCTTTCTTGTATTTATATGTCTGAATAAAATATCGTTTTGCCTTACAAGTGGGGAGTTCAGGAATTATGCAGTTTTTCTAACATGAGTGACTCCCTCAGAGCTCTCTTAAGCCTCTCCCTCTAAGATCCTTGTGTTCATTTAGATGAAGGAAAAGGAGTATTTTTGTGGATGTGATTTTTGTTGTTCCCATTTTGCTTGTTCCTGCGGATGTTTTAAAAACCAGTCTTGGATTAGGTATACTGTTTCTCAATCCATATTACAAAAATAAAGTGAAATAATGAGAAAAAAAGCATGGCATCTACTGTTTTTCTACCTGGGTTTGCGAAATGTGATGTTGTTTCCAATTATTTATAATAAAGCAGTATGAACGTTTAGTGACTCCATTGTGTACATCATATAATGCCAACATGTCTGTAAGCAATTTGACATGCACAGCTTTTGCATTTAATTATTTCAGGATACAATAATTAGATACTAGAATTTTGTTTCAATAAAAGTTGCGTGGTTTCTATGAAAATTTCTTCATAATAGTCACAACACTATTTGTTTTAAATAAAATTAAAAATAATGTGTGCAACTTCATCTTGCTTTAATTATACACTTTATAAAACTTAACATCATAATCTATGAAAGGATAGAGTCACTGTAGAAATTACCAGATGAACTAAAGCCTAGATATTTGAAAACATTTCATTCAGGGAGGGGGTAGGAATGCTTAGACCCATGAGAATGTAAGGTCAAAGTGTTGGTTCTTCAGGGTCTTCAGCTTATATTTATACTGTATGATTTTGCTTGCCCACACAATTACCAAATTCTGTATTCTCTCACAGCAATTGATCTTTTATGTGGACTCTGGGAAAAGGTAAGTCACCTGAGTATGTCTGAGTTTGGCCTAAACGGGAACAGGAAAGAGCATATAATAAATGCAGCTAACCCCTATGCATTACGTACCTTGCGTGCATTTACTAGTTACATACTTATCTAAAAGTAATCAATCGTTACCTCTGTTCTTTGTCCTGGCCCCATCACCACCCCATTCAGTCAACTCTTCACTAATTTCAGTGTTGATTACTGGAAAGATAGGTTTTCTTCTGCCTCTCCCCTCCCAGGACAGACTAACGAGAGCTTTGAGACCTCAGAGGACAAGACCAAGCTGCGACCACCCTAGACCGGTTCATTTCCAGCTGACTTGTGGACAGTTATAACTCCATGAGTCATCTCAGCCGAGGTCAGCTGAGCTTGGCTCGGATCAACTGAATTCCCTAGGTAACATACATCATGTGAGAAGAAAGGATGGGATGATTATTTTACGACGCATTGGTATGGAGAGTCTTGTCAAACATCAATCACTAACGGAGGATACAGGGGACAACAGTGCTCACTGTGACTCCCAAGGATTCTAAGGGTTGAGAAGGAATGTCTCTTTGTTCAGTCAATATGTTCAAAATAACCATCTAGGCTGCATCAAAATATTAGTATTCTTGACCCTCTTTCTGAGGAAATCCTTTTTTTTTGAAAAAAAACATTTTGCCATGTACTTTTTTCTTCTATTAAAAATATGTATTTTTTCTAACATAATCTATTCTGATAACGATTTCTTCTCCCTCTACTCTGTCTCCATCTCTCCACCTTCCCTCCTTTTCAGAGCCACTCCCTTAATCATCACCCTCAATCCATATATATATACATATATACATATATATGTACATACATATGAAATTTGCCACTCTTGCCTGAATATCATAGGCCTTATATTGTTTTAAGAGTTTTTTTCATTTCTTTGATTGTTTGAGGTTCAAGAATTTGAACCCAGGGCCTTATGTATAGTAGAAAAGTATTCTGTACCCAAGTCACATTCTATTATTATTATAATTATTATTATTATTATTTGTTAGAGGACAGGGCTTATTGAGCTAATCCGACCAGCCTTGAATTCATTATATAACCCAGGCAGACCTTCAACTTGCAGTCAAGAAGGTATCTATTACTGACTTTTATTTCTCCACAGCATTGTTACTTGTTGAGTAGAATTGAATTGTTGGAAAACCCTGACAAATCTATTCACTGCCCAAGCAGAAGCCAGAAAACAACTTAGATTTCTGTTTGACACATCTCGCCTCATTTGAGACAGGGTTTCTTGTTCACTGCAGCGACGTTAGTTTGGCTGGCCTGCAAGCTTCCAGGAATTCTCCTGTCTCAGTTTCTCGGCTGTTATTAGCCGCTGCCATGCCTGCTTTTATGTGGAGTCTAGGGAATCTAAAATCAGATCCTCATGGTCCCATATCAAGCATTTTACCCACTGAGCTGTTTCCCCAGCCCTATAATCATTGTTGTTATTATTTGTTTAAGGCCAGCCTTAGGGTATAAAATCCCACTGATGCCCATTTTACTGGTGGCTTGGCTCTTCAAATGCAGTCCAGGTCAACATTGTCTCCCCTTTCCTCTGGCCATTGTTTTATCAATTACCTGCTAAGCATCTGCCATCTGGTTGATTGAATGGAACATGATAGCGGGATGTCTAGGAAAGACTGAAAGTAAACAAGCTACTATAGCTCACTTGTTTTCAAAGGAGAATACAGAGGGAAAGCGAACTTGATGACACACACACACAATGATACACGAGGCTTTCCAAGGAGCAGGCAAGCAAAGGATTGCAAACAAAGGTGTGGAATGACTAGATAGGAGGGAGCAGTTAGACCACAGATGTTGCTGAGTACATTGCACCAAGTATTATGGATGTTACCACAGAGGGAACCGCAGTACACTTGCACAGTGCCCACTGGCTTTATCATTCAAGAAGCCATTGGTAATTTTTGAGAGCAGCATCAAAATGGTAGAGCTGCAACTTCTGATCCCATGACAGTAACCGCAATGGATAAGAGAAAATTGTGGCCATGAGGAGAAGAGTGGCATCTCTCTTGATTTGTGTAGCAGAGCAGACTGGGAACTTGAGAGAGACGCAGAATCTTGAGTCCCAACCCACAGAACTGACTGCATTTAACAAGATGCTCAAATGGCTTGAAGGCAGTAATGTTTGAGAATCGTTAGGTCGAATTGTGTTTCTAAGAAGGGGGTTGAGAGTGGAAAGAAATTGGGAAATTCATGGATGAAGAATAAGAGGTAGTGATAGTTTTCAAATGAGATGTGCTTGGATGGATTTTTTATCCCCCAATAAAATAAAAACACTTTAGTGCCGGGAAGACAGATGAATGGGTGAAGTGTTTGCTACACAGATGTAAGGACCTGGGCTTGAATCTCTGGAATAGACATGCAAGCCAGATGCACAGCATGTATGTCTATAATCTCAGACTTCCAACAGAAGATAAGAGGCAGGTTCAGGAGACTAAGAGTTCAGTAGCCTGGCACGTACAGAGGAAAACAGAGATCCTGTCCCACTGTAGGAAGAAAAGACTCAGTATGATGTCCACATCCTAATCATGTCCTGAATGTACGTACACACACACACACACACACACACACACACACACACACACACACACAAAGAGAATGAAGGTCAATTTAACAATAGTAATAATAATAATAATAATAAATGAATAATGCCCACATTTAACTTGAAAACTTCGGTCTATCATATAAGTAACTAAGTGACTTTATGACATCTGTGTGTAATTCAGCTTATAACATTTGTGTCTGCGAATGTGAACCCATAAAGCCTTTTCTGCTCTTTGAAGTCCACCTTAATTATCTCAAACTCCTTACCCAGTATGCCCCGGAGTCACTGTGAGTCCGGTGGTTTATTACCACAATAAAGAGAACGTCACAGTAAAATGAGCAACCGAGGTTTTTTTTTTTGTTGTTGTTGTTGTTGTTTCTCGGTACATATGTTCCATGTATACTATACTATATAATTAAGTAAATCTCAAATA